GTGTGTGAGAGAGAGAGAGAGAGAGAGAGAGAGAGAGAGAGAGAGAGAGAGAGAGAGAGAGAGAATATGAGTTCTAAGTCTCTCACTTGCCCAGAGAGGTCCTTGAGCTGTAGAGAAAGGAAACCAGTGAGTGCTGATTAGTACATACCAGTGCTTATTAAAGCACAAATAGTAAGATTCTGAGGCCAGGATCATCAGTCTGTGACCTTCGCTCGATGCAGCGTCCCACTCAGCATCCCACCCAGCGTCCCACCCAGTACGGTTCCTGTGAAGGCTGGAGCAGGCCCCTGGCATGGAGGAGTAATTAGAACATTTCACATACATAGTGCTAGGCATATTCTTTTATGGGGAAGGTGGTCTAATCCCACTGTGAGCCATTCTTGGCATATCCATTTTTAAATAAGCTTAACTTGTGGTTTCATTATGCATTGACTTTTGCTTTGGAGATCGTGGTTTTCAATGTACTGTTGCTTTATGACTTGTGTTCAGATTAAACGTGGTCTGTGTTTAATATTTGTAGTTACAACGCCATCAAATCATATAAGACGGAGGGAAGAGCTGAGCAGTTAGAGCCATTAGAATACCTCGTCTCAGCTGCAGAAGCTGGTAAGCAGTATGTAATATCATCTCCTAACTTACTCCCTCAGGCGGGGTGGGGACGCTTGCCTATGTGGGAGTACAGGACGCCCTCTGGCCCAGATTGCACTTCTGACCTCAAGGGTTGATTTTTCTTTTCTTTAAAAATAAATCTCCCAATTGCCTGTTAAATGTTAGTTTATGTACTCGTCCAGCCATATGAAGTTAGGAGTCTCTAGACTCAGGGATTAGTGGGGCTGGAGAGGTGGCTGAGCACTTCAAAGCACTGGCTGATCTTCAGAGGACCCAGGTTAGATTCCTAGCACCAGGCTGAGGTGGTGGCTCAGCCATCTGTAACTGCAGGTCCAAGGGATCTGACACTCTTTTCTGGTCTTTGAGAGCACTGTATATACACATGGCACACATGCATATATGCAGGAAATCACTCACATACATAAAGTACTTTTTGAAAAATTATTCTTACGGTGTTATGGTGTTTTCAAATTATATAACTTAGTAACTTTATTCTCTTGCTCCTATGTGTGCCATCAAGGAAAAACAGTGAGACTGAATTTTCATAAAACCTATTTTGACCCATTGTATACCTTGGTTTGTTCAATTACCAGTTCTTTTAAAGCAAGAGCTGTCTTAATTTTCAAATACTTAGCCACATGAATAGACCCAAGTCATGATAGAATTTGATATTTATTTACTAAAAAATTTCTCGGGAAGCTCAACAAATGAAAATTTTAACCAGATGTATTTTTTGGTAGGACAGGAAGTTGGTTGGTTGGTTGGTTGGTTGGTTGGTTGGTTGGTTTTGTAAGATAGAATCACATATAAGCTGCCCAGGCTGGCCTTGCAGTGATCTTCCTGACGCTGCCTCCCAGCTGCTGGAGTGTACCACATGCGTCACCGGATGAGATTGTTAGCAAAATGATCACTTCTCTAAGGATGATTAAATGTGCCTTATTAGACTTTTGAAAGGATTTGAGGAGGATTGTGATGGATCTTGGGTAAACATGTATGTACATATGTACGGATCTTGAGTAGACATGTATGTACACAGTAGCTTGAGGAACCAAGCTCCTGGTTCTTTGTCCTGCCCTAAACCATAGCCCCTCTGTTTAACGTGTGACTCCTAAGACCTAGTCTCTGCCCAGGCTGCATGGTTTAGGAGTCAGGAGAGCTTTGCTCTGTCCTTACAGAGAAGCTATTTCACATTTTACCTCTTAACTTACCTCGCACTGACCACAGGAGGAACATTTTTGACCATCAAAAACGAAGTTTTCCTTGTGACTCTTGGGCAGTGCCTAAGAGCCCACCTCTCCCTATCCCAGATACAGGCTCTTTATGCCTTGTTCTCTTACAATACCGGTGCTCAACTGATTGGAATAGCATTGCCTCCCATTTTATTAATTAAATTTAACGTCCTACTTATGCCCAATGGTTTTGTTGTTTTATTTTTGTTTTTCTGATAAGGATTCACTCTGTAGCTTGGGCTGTCATAGAACTCACTCTGTATGACTTCAACTCATAGAGATCTGCCTGCCTTTGCCTCCTAAGTTCTAGGGTTAGAAGTATGCACCACCATGCCTGGCTATACCCCTGTTCTTGATCAAGTGGGCTTTCTTTATGCTTATGTGCACATTTTTAAAAAAAATGTTTCTTTATCTGATGAACTTTTCTTAATTTGGATTGCATGAAACAGTACCTTTTTTCTAATTCATCTTTAAATATGATTTTAGGAGCCATGACTCTCTGTATTACAAACCCATTATGGGTGACGAAAACTCGCCTTATGTTACAATATGGTGGTGTTGTTAACCCTTCACAGAGACAGTATAAAGGAATGTTTGATGCACTTGTGAAAATATATAAATATGAAGGTGTGCGTGGATTGTACAAGGTAACAAATTATCATGACTATGTTTTAAATACTCTGGAAATTGCAATTAATACTAGCTTCTGTTTTTGTTGTTGCTTTGTTTTTGAGACAAAGTCTTGCTAGATAGCCCAGGCTAGTCTTCAACTCTCAGTCATCCTATTCAAGACTACAGAATACTGAGATGATAAACATGTTTCACCATGCTGGTTTCTAGTCTTGTAAATCATCTCCTTTGTTTCACTTCTAAATGACCTGTATTTGGTCCTAAAAAGAAACCAAGCATAAGCAGGAAGTAATTGGGTAAAATCGGAATCTTGTTTATAATATTGAAATTGTACTTTAAGCTGTGTCTTCATTGGTGTAAACCTTTGTCAGGTATCTTTTTAGTGAGCCGTGCAGTTAGCTTACCCATTTCTTGTTGTAGCCCTTGAAAGTTGTCTCTGATAATATATGAAGAAGAGATCAGTGAGTCTTAGCAGGATCTTATTTTTATTGACTGTAAATACACCATGAATTTAAAAATAATAACCAAAAGAAAAATTTAGCACCTTGCTTGGTGATTGGTTTTTTTCAGTGCTAGGAATTGAATGCAATATATTTAAATTTTCTTCTTAGTGGTTGCAAGATCTGTTTCCAATTTTGTACTTTTTTTCTTTTGCCTTAATTTCTCTTGGTGTTAGTTACCTTTGCATGGCTGCGGCCACAGCGTGTGAAAGAAACAACTAGAGAAGAGAGAGCCCCCGTGGCTTGAGGGTGTCCTGTGGGGAGGCCAGGCAGGGCAGCAGCTCCCTAGTTAGGAAACAGGGCATCCTGCTGCCCCACAGCTATCTATTCCTCCACCTGACCTGTCCAGTCTCCAGATGCCAGGATGTATCTATCTGTCTGGGGTGTGTCCCACCCTGTGCACACCCACAGGTATCTCCCCAGTCATGCTCACAGCGAAGATTTAACTGCCACAGTTCTTTGTTGTCTTTTTTGTTTATCCTCATTTAAAATATGTACGTTGTTAAATATTATTAACTATTAATGTATTAAGTATACATATATAAATATAAAATTTAGGCTGAACTAATTGTGTTATATTTTACTTTGTTTTTCAAGAATTGTGTAATAGCTTTAAAATTACTTGCATATAAACTCGAGGTTATAGATTATTTACTGATCTATGAGCAATTTTATTTGCAATTATATTATTCAGTTCTGTATTTCCTTTCCTCATTTCTTACCTTGTTCTTTTAGAATACCTATGAACAATCCCTTGAAATATTATTAGCGTTACTTTCCTTACTAAATTTAACCTCTTGTTTGAACACCAATTCTTAGCAGTGTGCATCTTTTTTATGTTCCATATGTATACTATTTAAAGAAAAACAACCTATGAAAATCCAAACAGTTTAAAAAGGAGAAAGCAGTGCTGTTCTTAAGATAGATATGTATGTATATGTATCACACACGTATATGTGTCTGTTAAATGTATATGTTTATACTATATTTAATATAAAATGATATGCACATAACATATGTTAAATATGACTTATTAAAATATAGGTTAAAATGTGATTTAGGTGAAACGTAGGTGAATTTACATGAAGTAATATAAAAATATTTAAGTACATCTGTCATTGAAAGCTGTATAATTTTGCTTCTCTCCATCTTCGTCTTTCCCTTCAGGGATTTGTCCCTGGGCTGTTTGGAACGTCACACGGTGCCCTTCAATTTATGGCGTATGAATTGCTAAAGTTGAAGTACAACAAACACATCAACAGACTACCGGAAGCCCAGCTGGTGAGATAATTATTTTAAAGTAACATCATTTACTTTTGCGGGCACTAAATAGGTAGAGGTTTTTTACAATGTATTTACTTTGACGATATTGCTATCATAATAAATATTCTATCACTAATTTAACAGCTAAATATTTTATAAGCTGATGGCACAGATGTTAAATAGAACCCTATATTAAATAGACCTCATGTTAAAGAGGAAACAGTATTTTTTTAGATTTTTTCCTTTGTCCTTTTTGCTTTTAAAGAGATCCTACTTATGTCCTCATTTTAGAGCACAACAGAATACATCTCTGTTGCAGCACTATCCAAAATATTTGCCGTAGCAGCAACATACCCGTATCAGGTTGTGAGAGCCCGTCTTCAGGATCAGCACGTGTCTTACGGAGGTGTAACGGATGTGATCACAAAGACGTGGAGGTGAGAGCGTGTGCAGGGACATCAGAGCTGCACCGGAGTTACCTCGCATGCCCGGACTACCCACTCCGTACTAGTTTCTAGGACTGGCCAGTGTGCTGTGGAAAAGACGAGTTTGGCAGTCTTTTCTTTCCTGTATACTGTATATGTTATGGTAAAACAATGTCTCTGAAGCCTGGTTTGTAAAATAAGACTATTTGGGCTCACAGAGTTGTTATTAAAAAAAAATATATGAAACAGAAATAAGTGCTTTGAAAAGATACCAGCACAGAATTTAAGTCTCAAAATATTTGGTTGACATTGGCTATAAGTAATCAGAAAGCTAAATACCGACAAGGCTTGCCTGCTACTGGTGCTTGTAACCTTTACCAGTCCGTGTCTCTGCGAGTAGGCGAGACGGTGCATGAGGATAACTAAATCGTTATAGGTAGACTTCCACTGCATGCCCCTTTCATTCTAAAAGTCCTGAAGAGGCTGTCTGAATTTAGTTCACTTTAAGAAATACTGTTTGAAGCAGGAGCAGGAGCTGACTACACTGCCTGCCTTTGGATCCCCTTCCCCTAACTAGGCTGCCTTGTCTAGGGGGTGAGCCTAGTCTTAGTGTAGCTTGCTTGATTTGCCAAGGTTGTTTGGTATCATGGGAGCCATGCCCTTTTCTGAAAAGAAATGGAAGATGTGGGGAGGAGGGGAGGTGTGGGGTAAGAATTAGGAGGAGGGAGGGAAGACTGTAGTGAGGATATAAAATTAATTATTTTTTTAGAAAAAGATTCTGGAAATCTGTATGTTAACTTACTAGGCCTTATTTCCTATTTTAGGTATTAAGGAAATCAAATTTTATTTTTATGTGAGCTATATTTAGTTTTATGTAGCACTTATATCAATTATGAGATCATGGACATACTGATTGCAGACAAGCATGTTTGTTTGAGATAGAGTCTTTGGACTACAGCTCTCATCAGCATGGTGGTTAGTGTCTAGTCCAGGATGACTTCATAGACTTGTAACAATCCTCCTGCCTCATCTCCCTCCTGAGTACTGGGATTATAGGTCTGAACCACCACACCTGGCTGCCATGAGGGACAGTCAAGTTAGATCTGTTTGACGGCCAGCCTCGTCATTCACTGAAAAACATTTGAATGCATCCTTGAACATGCAGTACTGTGCAGTTGTGTTTTGAGGTGTCCTTGCCCCTCTAAAGTTTATAAACAGCTCATAAATGATATTCCTTCAAGGAATCGTACAGAGTCTAAGCCCACCTGCAGGTAGGGGGAGGCTTGACTGCTTCTTCCATGCTCTGCTAATGAAGTGTTGGTGTATTCACACTGGCTGCTTGGGATAGTAAGTGTGCATCTCTTCTCCTTTATAGGAAAGAAGGCATCGGTGGATTTTACAAAGGAATTGCCCCCAATCTGATTAGAGTGACTCCAGCCTGCTGCATCACCTTTGTGGTTTATGAAAATGTCTCTCACTTTTTATATGACCTTAGAGAAAAGAAAGTGAGCTAAAAGAAGACCCCAGTGCATGTGCTTGAGGCAGGAGCCAACTCCTTTGTGTTTGAAACACAAAGCTCAGAAGAATACTGCACAGCAACATAGCTCGTAATCACACGTCAGGACTGCTAAGTCATCTTGATGTTTTCTGCTCTTTGCTTCTCCGTGTGTGTGGAGCGTGGCTGCCTCTACCTGAAGTGGGTACCATCTGCATAATGTTGAAACTGATACAGCCACTGTGAAAATGTGTAAGATCTCCTGTTTTGTTGTTCAGGTAGAAGCTAATTTGCTGCAATATTTGTAATTTAATGAATGTTCTTTTTTTCTGAACTCTCTTGCCTGGATTGGCTTTAAAACTGACCATGTGCAATAGCAAGGAACTGGCTTCTTACAAGAATGATTATATTTCAAGGGTAAATTAAACTTGGAGAACTTATAAATAAGGTGTTATCCAAGTCTAGCCCATTTTGAATGGGGATATTTTTGTTAGAAAAAAGTCTATTATAAATGTGCTTTAGTTTTTAATCCAACTGAGACATACTAAGTACAGAAATTGGAGAAGTCATGTATTTCTCTGAGAAATATCTGGCACCTTTTGCCATTCCATTGCTTAATTATTTACAGTGAGATTCTGGACACAGACCTTGTATTTTGGCCATAAACACTTAGTGTGTGGTTAGGGTGTATAAAAGCTGAACTTCCAGCATCTGGTAAAGCCTTTATTTAGCATGTATGGTTGCAAATCACTCATCAGAAATGCTGGCTCATTTTTCACAGAGATGGAATGTTTGCTGTGAGTTTGTTGAAAAACTGAATAGAAATAAGCATTCCATTTTCCATTAATTTCTAGATTTATGGTTCCAGATTCCAAATAATTGATTCGTCTACATTGGTTGCTCAAATTCAGGTTGGAATACAAATTACATCTGTCTGTGGCCATTACTGATTTGATTTCTATGTCATTGTAGCTCTCCAGGTAAAAGGCCTGCCCCAAAGGATGCTGGACTAATACTAACTCCTGATGCACAGCTGTCAGTGCTGTTGCGCTATCCTCTACTTTTTGTAAATAAATCATTATGATCAAAGCTGTATTTAAAGGGTTCTTCAAAAATAAGCCTATTTTTTATATTTTGGAAATAGAATTGTTTTTAAAATAAAAAATGAAAAGATCATTTATATTTACAAAAATGGTGTTTGCTATGTCCTTTACCTTTATTTTTTAAGTATGTTTATTCAGCAAAAATGATGCATTTGTAAATCATGATCACTGTAACAAAAAGCAAGGTTTTCAGCATTTACAAATTCCTGGCATGTACCTTTTTTAGGTTCAGGGACAATTCCAAGGAATTCTTGGAAATTTCAAAATTACTATTTTAAACACAGTCATGACTATATCTACACTTTATTTGGGTATCTCAAATTTTTGTTACAGAATAAGATACACTGAATTTTGTGTAGGTTAGTTACTTACACTAGTAAGTAATTATTTAGTAGTTTACAAAGAACTACAGCCTACAGGAATAAGCAATGAGAAACATAATATGTAATTCAGATTCCCCAGGTAAATAACTTTAGAATGTTTTATAAATTGTGCATTTCATAGTTCTGGATTATACTTTAACTTGTGTGGGATTCTCCCTGATACTTATGTCTGTATAGAAAGGCAAGCTACAGTGATATTAAAGCTTTAGAAATAGAACAATCATTTGAGTTCTATGTGCCTCAAGTTAACAAGACAATTCTTGTCGTCTGAGAGATTATAAGCTTGCATAATAAATGTATTACTACTGTTAGACGTCCGTGCACAGCCTAGAACAGACCACACCAGACTAAATGGTTCCAGGGGCAGGGGGGATGTTAATTCAGGAGATAGGGCAAAGATTGGGGGGGAGAAGTAGAAGAAGAAGATGGAAGAAGAGAGCGAGGTCAGGGGGTTCTGCCTGTTTTATATAGGCGGTGACGTAGCCTCTCCCAGGTAAAGGTGAGGTAGCCAGGTGGATTCTGGGAATGTATGGCAGTTGCCTTGGCAACAATGTGGAGGTCACCTAGATGTGATGTCACTGGGTTCGGAGCCTGATACCAACAACTACAGCTTTCTATTGACACATGAACATGCAGGGTGATTCAGTGCCCTGCAAGAGCTCTGTTACTCATGGAACATGGAGGAGGTACCTCCACTGTGTTGGGAATACTGCTGGGCACCGAAGGCATAGCAGTAAGCAAGCCAATGAGACTCATGATAAGTATGCATATATGAATAATATAGCTGTGGTTATTGAATGCTATAAAAAAAAAAGCAACTGTGAGAGTGATGTCAGCGTGTTAGGTAGGAGAGTATGAGAACCAGCCAAGCCCTGAAGCAGGAGCTAACCTGGCTAAAGGAGAGTGGATTGAAGATGGGTCTTGCAGTGTGTTGAGATTACAGGTTAGAGACTCAGACTCACTTCAGATGTTAGTTTTCTGGTTTTCTGTTTGACCTAAGACAAACATTTCACTCCTTTCTTAAGCACCCTTATTTGTAAAATGGTGTTAGATTAGTCCTAGTGATTCCCAAAGAGGACATTCGTAGTGAAGTGACAGAGTAAATACTTTAAGAAATCTGGTGGCACATACCTTTGAAGACCTCCGCAGAGGGGAGACCCTCTCTCAAGTCTCAGAAAGTCGCGACCACCCAGTAATCTGCTCGAGACACCATATACCAGAGCAATTGCGAGGTTATTTATTAGGGCGTGACAACTAGCTGCCGGTCAATTCGCATGCCCACGCAGGAGCTGAATTGACCCCGACTGCCAGTTTGAGGGGTGTTTTTAAAGGGAAAAACCACAAACCAAGGAAATGAGGAGGGAGTGAGGGGGTTGCTAGGGTGGTATAACATAAAAATAGTGGAACATTCCAAAGGAACCCAACCTACATGAGTCAGGATCAGATGAAAACTCTCTGTACGCTTATCTTTCTCAAGAATGTAGTCCTGCCCTGTCACTTCGGCCTTGCCCTGTCGCTATGGTTCTCAGCTTGGTTCCACCTGACTAAATTGCATTCTTTCCTTTCTCTTTGCGGGTCAGCTAGCCCCAGTAGTGGTGACTGGTCTTTCCACATTCCTAAAGAACGCCTAAAGAATATTTTATATCTAAAAAGGATTCTATATACCCAATATCCATAACTTTTCCCTCTACACCTTTAATCCCAGCACTTGGGTGTTGGGCCCATTTTGGCCCTGGTTTGGGCCTTGGGGACAAACCCAAGCTGGCTCAAGTTTTGAGACCTATCTCAGTCACTTCTGTATTGGGGTGACTCAGCAAGAACTGTTTGGCCCTGGCTCTGCCCCTCCGTTACTGACGTAGAGCTTTGCCATTGGCCCTGTCAGTCACCCCATACCCTCCATCACCCTTCCCCGCCTCCTACGTCATCTCACCCCACCAACACTCCTCCTCCCTATGCTCCACGTTTATACAAGCGAGAGGCTGATACATTAGAGCTGAGTTCCTGCTTCAACAAGACTCCCGGCCGGGTGTGTTTCTTTAGGCCTTAGACACTCACCATCCTGCTCAGCCCTGGAGGGACCCAGTGGGCTGGAACTGCTCTCCTCCCGCCTGGACCTGCTGGCAAGGAGCCGACACTTGGAAAGTAGAGGGAGGTAGAAAGTCTGAGGCCAGCCTGGTCTACATAGAGGAATAGATAGAACAGCCTTTGCCTGACAGTACAGAGTATGAGGAATGGATTGAACCATAGGTTGTCCAACCCAGAGATCACCTCTGCCTCCTGGTACTAAGATTAAAGGTGTATGTGGCCATGCTCAAAGCAAGCAGTCATTGACTTAGGGAAGCAAGTTGTATGATGGAAAGGGTGTCAAGGTATTACTAGCAAGGGAAGTCTTCCAAAGAGTGGAGATGTGAACTGTTAGCTAATACCCATGGCACCCAAAAGGGCATCTGCATTTTACCAGCAGTGTGTGCTGCAAATGAACAATTTAAAGTACATAGCTGTACTTTGATGAATTAAATAAATCCAAATAAAGAGTGTAATGCAGGAGCTGGGCTAATTAACAGAAGCCAGTTCTTACCCAGGATTGTAGACTGGTAAGAAATTTAGACAAGGATCTCTTTCTGGACTGTGGAACAAGGCTACAGCTGGGATGCTTTGATGAATATCTAGTCAAGAGCTCGTGACTTCAACCTGGTTGATGGAGTCAGAGATGCTGACTTACAGCTTGGAACTGGAGCAGTATTCCAGAAGGGCGGTGGGCTGGGGGTGGGCTGGGCCTGAAGAGAAGTATGGCAGGTGATAGCAGAGGTGGCCTGCTCTGTGCACTGAATTGTCAGTATAACTGGAAGAGCAAGCTGAAAGACTGAGACCAGAACTTGAGAACTCTTGGAACTTTACTCTGAACATGTTGGCGTTTCAGTGGTTAAAAAAGAACACAGTAGGTAGACCAGAGAGGTGTGTCTACATCTCAGGAGCAAACTCAAAAGCGGTGTCATTAACCCTGTAAATATTTTGGTAGGATGAAGGTTGATGCCACCAGTAACTTTAATCCCATCTGAATTACAGAACCTGAAGATGGCAAGCAGCCAAAGGAGCCTCCTTCCTCTTTCTTGGAGTTTGGCAGATAAAAGTGAAGAACGATAGCTTGAAAAATAACCAAGACTAAGAGAAGGTGCAAGTTGGGGAGGTTGACAAAGGGAAAGCCAGAGCATGGTGAGGGGTCACCTTTGAAGATAAGAAGCCAAGTAGCACACAAGCAGGTGTGTGAACCACAGCCTGTCATCCACTGGTGGCTGTCATGCCTTGTGAAAGACTATTCTACTTGAGTATATGTTTTTGTGGCCCAATTATTTAAGCTTTTTACCTTAAGGTAGGTAGGTAGGGATGTGTGTGTGTGTGTGTGTGTGTGTGTGTGTGTGTGTGTGTGTGTGTATTTAAGACGCCAACTGGAGAATGCGTTTGAGTTCAGGAGTAATCAGAGTTAGTTTTTCTTGGAGTACAGGGACTATTTTCAGTAGAAAATAAAAATCTGAAGATAACAACATGTATCCACTTTGGCAGCAAAGTCAAACACTTACAAAACCACATGGACGTAAAAATGATTTGCTTAACCTTTGCACTGCTTTCTGAAAGCGTGTTAGGTAACATGTAGAAACTACAAGGTTTGGGGTTATTTACAGTCTTGCATATCTGAAGAATTAAACACAAAACAGATGCACCTCTAATAAATACATACCTATCCCCTTCCTTCTTGAAGAAGGAGGCAGAATTTCTTTTTTTTTTTAAGGTTTTTATTTTTATTTTTTTAAATTTATTTTCTCTCAAATCGTAATTCATTCACACAGGGGTTATAAACACAGAAAAGCAGGATGTGGGGAAGGGAATGACACTGGAGTGTGGGTGATCAGGAGGAATACAGATATCATCAGAACCAGGTATCGGCTGGGTGAAGGTTCAGGGGACAAGTCACTATGACTCTGCCTATGACTCGCTTGTCCTTATCTAAGTTGGTATTGTCTGCCCAGGCTACCTATTTAGAAGGTCTATGACTACTCAGGCTTGTAAATTTCCACAAAAGCGGAGGCAGAATTTCTTATGGAAACCCACCCACTGCCTGTATTCAGCTTTGTGATTTAGGGGCACCAGCCTTACCTTCTCTGGAGCTGGGCCCTGATTGGCAGCGACAATCTAGGTATACATCTTTGTTTACTTATAGTCGTGAATGGCTTGAAACCAACACAGATAAGCAGTCCAGAGGAGCTGGAAAAAAATGTCTTAGTATCCTGGCATAGATTCTCTCCTTGCTTCACTCCTGAAGATTCATGTAACTCAGTCCTCCTGAAAGCCAAGTTAGACTCCTGATTGGAAAACATTAAGTGTCCAAAATAGAGTCAGCATCAAGAATGTAACAAATTTATAAGAAGAAATCATGTTCTAAGTCACATTATATGGGCTTCTGGATCAACTCTTACCCTTGGCAACATGTATCTGTGGAGTTTTTACATAGGTGAATAATAAATTTATTTTAAAAATAAATCTCAATTTGGCCTTTCAATTACTTACTATAGCTAAAACTTTCTAGGTAATATAGACTCCAACACTGACAATTCTGTCTTTCTTCAACCAACTGTCATGGTGGGCCCATGCTTCTCTGAACATTGTTACAACTTGTATGAAGAGTATCTATCCACTTGGGGACCTTAGTGTGATGACATAATTTCTCCAACATCATTGTAGTAGCCGAGGTAAAGAGTTGGTCCCACCTACACAGTATGTTTGCCCTCAAGATGGTGCGCAATGGCAGGTACAGAGAGACACAAATGACTTCACAGTCAAAGAGGTCCATCCACATCCTTGAACAACCTTCTCTGCTTGTTTCCTTTCACCATCCAGCCATTAGCACGGTCTTTAAGACAGGGGTAGCAGTCTATACTTGTGACCACCCTTCACTCCAGATAGTACTACTGCTTCAAGTTCACCCAGTAAGAGAACTTCCCTTCACTCATCCTTTGGGACTGTGGTACTACAGCCTTGGATTTAGTCAGCAGAGCTTTTGTACCCTTTGTGGGCCAATGTGCAGACATCTATAAACTAGGTACATTTTTTTTCTTTTCCAATCAACTGTTCAATGAACATTCCAGGAGACCAGGGTATGATCTGTAGAAGAGCCAACGACCCAACAGGAGTTTGTCTTGAAGCAGTCTGAGCCTCCTGCTC